CGTGGACGTTAATGTAGCCTCTAATCCAATCAAGGAACTGTCCCATGACTTTCATCTAGGGGGCAGTTATTTTAATTTTGTTTGGGAGTATCTCCGATATCACAGTGGACTCAACTGGAAACTTTGAGTAACCACAACGATTAGAGTTCAGTCGGTTCTCACTAGAGTAGGAATCTGTATTACTAACTAATTTTACAAATAGGAGTAAGTATGTGGAGCAGTGGACACAATGTAGTTTTATCTGAAGCCTGATTGATTTGGAGGACTGACTGATTTTGCACCGATTGTTCTTGGATCCCTGCAATTAGGGTTATATATTTTTTCTTTGTATCTCATTGTCTGTCCAGAAATTTTAGGAAAATCTGTCTACGACACCCTGCAAAATGGTCCTAACTGCTTTGCCTCCTCCTGCATCTTTTCAGACTGCAATCTACGAACATATGACGTCTCCGAATAATCTCAGGCGGATCTTTGTCTGTCAGATTGATTACAGGGTCCTGGATCAACCGCGAGCCTTGCCCTGTGGTCATGTCTTCTGCTGCAGATGTCTCCGAGACATTACAGTAGAGCTAGGAGGCCAAAAAACTGTGAAGTGTATCTTCTGCGACAAAGTTTTCCCGGTAGACAACCAAGAAAGCTGCATGTCAATCGCGTATGAGTACAAGGCATTTGTAGACTTGTTGGAGGCAGGTGAGCTCTCTGGGAGCGTAGCCAATGTGCAAGTGAGTTCAATATGTTTCCTTTGATCAGCGCCTGTACTTTCTTATTTCGGTCTTTTCTCAACTGTTTTGCAGGATCACAGATGATCTGCAAAAAAAGCACGTACTGATAAGACCTCTGATGTTTTTCTTTGCATCGCACTGCATTGCAGAGAAACTGTCTTTACAGTCAGCGCGTGCCGTTAAACTTTCACAAGTCTACAGAGCGTTGCTTCCTGACTTTTATACTGAATGTCTTATTAGAAAGCATTGGTCGACATGTCTCATGTGAGTAGTGTCCTTTTTTCTTGTCATCTCTTTAACTGTTTGCAGCATCTATAAGGGAATAGGCGCTATTAAAACCACTGATGTTTTTGTTTACATTCACGAAGTTTGTAACCATATAGAAGGAGCTTTCCTATGCAAGACTGCCTTTTCGCGTATAATGCTTGTTTTAAACTCGTGTTCTCCGACACTTTCACTCCAATGCCCATCCCGATCAGTTCAGCACTCTGCTCTGGTAATAAAGGAGAGAATAGTGCAGTGCATCCTAATCATTTCAGGTTCTGTCCTTACTACCTTTGCATTAGGTACTAACCGATCTGACCTAGCTCAGTAAAAGTTAACCGAAATTCTAGTATGTTTTAAATTGTAAATAATTACTTAGGCGAGGTTGTCACATCGATTGCCCAATAACATAATCCTGGGCTATTTCATTCACTCAGGGATTCCAGCTTCTTTCTGTCCGCCACAGAAACCACACAGTTAAATAGGATTGCTTAAGTAGCATTGTTTTTTTCCATTGGTTTTCCATGGTAACGTGAATCCAAATATATTTTATAGAAAAAAAACAACAAAAATACTCTTTCCTTTGCTATTTCAATAGAAAATTGGGGCTCACGATTATTCGACAATAAATGAAGTGTATTAACTTAAATATAGCATTTCGCAAATAAAAGCGTTCAAGAATTAATTCGCTGCTAAATACGTACAATGGAGAATATTTTAATGCATTTTTATGAACCAATTTAAAATGTTTAAAAATATTGAGAAGCACTGGGAAAAATATGCCAATTTAGTAGTCATCTTTTAAATAGTGTAGTTTTCACGGATGGTCGGAAAGAAACTAATCCCAAAGCGACCGCCCTGACGTAACAGGAATATACTGGAATTATGTCACCTGGAATAAATATTGCAATCTCCGCCCAGTTATCCTTTCTAATCGAACACAAAATCCTTAAGATTGATCAGATAGTGTACTTTCGTGATATTCCATCCGCAATGGTAAATTGTAAAAAAAGAAAAATAAATAGAGGTCTTTAACAGGATGACATTTCTGCGGGAATTTCCAACAGCACTCGACCGTTTTTTATATCAATGAACTGAATACATTTAAAAAGATTGTTTTTTTTATCTTGCCGAGTTGGCTTTCGCTGCATTGTAAGAATGGGGTTCAGTGAGTTCACTTAAATGAAATCCTTTCATAGGTAAATAAGGCCGGTTGACCGCAATCCAAAAATAGGAATGGACTACCAAACGTCCATTAGCTTCAATAATAAGGGTGCCTCATCTTTTTGGTTGCAATACTTTGTCAGGGACAGTGGAACCTGAAGTTCAAACCTACCCCTTAACTCGAAATCGATCATCCCACTATCATTTGCGTCTCCACCTGACTTCTACGCGCAACGCCCTTGGGATCTGTGGAGAACTCAAACTATAGCAAGAAGCTACTTCTAAGGATAAAATTTAATTTTGCACAGCTGTTAACGGGGTGTCTCCCAGACGCCGAGCTGGGTTCCCTTTGTTGTGTATTCCTAAAACAGTTCCTCCTCAGAAGATCAATGCGTTAATTAATCAGGAGCTCCACCTTTTTTACGTCATTGAAGTGTTTTGGGGCTGCGTTCGTTCATTTTCCGGATGAATCCGGTGATCTCATTCGCAAGACGTTTTCTTTAGGTACTTTTCACGAGAGCACAGTGGTATTTTGCAGGCGTGACGTATAAGATGCCTGTTTTTGCTTAGACGCTGACATCCTCGTTTTTTTTTTTAAATGCACAAGTTGCCACAGGATGACTCAGCTAATTCGCACTATTCCCTCTCGGAAGCCATTTTGAATAAAACTATACTTGCAAAGCGGGCCAAAGTGAATTACTACATTATCTTTCGTAACTTCTCATTCGGCTGTCAATGTTCGTTTATTATTTATACACTCAGAGGCCTTTTGTTAGACCAATAAAAAAGGTCAAAGATGGCAGTATAAAACGTTAGTCATTCATCTTAGACATTCGGGTAAGCTCCTGACGAGATCGGGACGGGGGGGGAGCTTGTCGCACTTCGTTCTGTGTGAGGACGTCACATGATCGAGTTGCTTGCTTGGATTTGATATCATCCGTCGCGTTGCTCCGACCTCACACGGCGAACGAGACGAGCTACAGAGGGGAGCTTAAACGTCAAGCCTCGACCCAGCGTAAACATTGCCTAGCGGGACATGACAAAAACGTTCGCGCGTGTGTTTTAGATGGTAGTTGGTGGCAGACCATTTGACTCAGATGTTCGACGGATGCAGGTTCATAGCCTAATTTCTCGGGCATGGTATTGGGGTATGGCTGGCTGGCGATGACCGGTAAGCTGGAAATGTTCATTCTAATTTTGCTCCTCTTTATAGGTAGAACTGGGAGAGACTGTAGGGCGATTCTGTTCATCAAATAGTACTTATAACTGAAGGAAAGTTTCGAGGATGTTCAGAAACTGAAATTGCTTACATTTCCGATACTAAGCGTTAGCAATGCACCTTGTTCCTTAATTCTCCCCCAGGCATTCCGTCGAACTAGATCCGATAAGCGCTAGGTGAGGACTGGCTTTTCTCCTATTGGTTCGCAGAAGTAGGTTGAGGCTGGGGATTTGAGGAATTTTTTTTCGCCAACTCTATGAAATGCCACTAATTATCTGACCCATCCTGATGAGTGTGACGGCGCAAACATTACGCCGTTAAAAAGTCTGTCAGCACTAGCGAAAAATAAAAAAGGGAAAATATTTAGTCATGGGGAATACGTACCAACGTATATTTTCCTATTCTTGTGATCATTTGCGTATGTGTAGCACTCTAGTTCCAAAATGGACACAATCGTTGCCGTTTAGCATCCCCTTCTCAGTCCCTTAACCTTCGCAGCAAAGGCCTGCCTGTAGCTCTGAATCAAATTTGAGTGTCCTGCTTCCAAATTAGTTTGGCGAAGACTCTCAGTGGGCTGACATTCCCAATTTCCGAATCCATGATAGGTAACGTAACTTATTAAATGCGCTTTCATTTGTGAAAATCCTTAATTAATCGAGAATCGGCCTAACTGCATCCACCGAAGCACTCTATTTAAACAACACGAGTGAATTGAATACATAAAAGAAGTATTAGAAGTAATATTATATTGATTAGAAATATCAACTTTCTTAAGGAAATCGGAAGAGCCTAACATGCAAAAGTGAATTCCAAAAAAGCGTTAAAGCGAGTTCTTAAAACCTACCCATACATGTGGGCGTTTTTTATTGTTTGCTGGTATTAAAATGAAATGGGTCCACAAATATCAACTATTAAATAGAAAAACATCGGATTTTCTAATAATAATGTGCACATTCATGTCCTGTTTCACGTGGTTCACGCGGACCAAAAAGTCTGGCTGTGGGAGATCACTGATTTGGCAAATCGTTCCTTGGGCAGATAATATTGCCGGCAAAGGCAAGGGAGACTGGAATGGCAATGTCTGGCTTGTTGGCCGTCGTCAGCCAGTCATACCCAGTCCCAAGTGGTGCACCACTCGAGGCTCGAACTCACGACCTTTTTGATCGGAGTCTATCGCCCTAACCATTGAGCCACGAGCTCTTCGCAAGCTCGAGCTTTGGATGGTGCCCCACTTGGGGCTGGGTAGGACTAGCTGACAACGGCTAATAAGCGATAACTTGTCATTGCAGTCTCCCTTGTCTTTGCCGACAATATTGTCTGCTCAAGCCGCTACGGCTATTGTCAGGACCCAAGAACTGAGACCCAAGGGAGAGTGGGTAAAGTGAGTTCCGCTAGCGGTCGATAAACGTTCATCAACGAGTGTCCGATCGTTCCTTATAGACTAAGGCCCTCCGGTAGGAAAATGCGTAACTACGGTCTGGGACAGTTATTGAGTTTGAGTTCCACTCAAACTTTCACACTTTTCTCCGACGAAATTGCCAAGAAACAAATTCTGCATGAGCTATGGACATTTTCCGCAACGGGTTAAGTCAATATGCCGATCGCTGAAACGAGTTATATATTGGCCTGACGTTTCGGATTCTCCCTCGAACCCATCATCAGAGACAGTCGCAGAGGCACAAAGTGCGCAGTATTTAGAGTGTGTAGTGGCCACGCGACTATTTGCATAGTGCTGATAGAAGCGAACAGGCGAGGTCCAGGCAGCAGGCCAGAAAGAGACGAAGTGATTGCAGGAACAATAATTTTATTGGCCTGATTCGGATTCTGGCTTGAATCCATCATCAACTTTTTCTGTGGCTGTCTTTTGTGACGCGTTCAAGCCAAAATCTGGAACACCAGGCTGATGAACTTGTTTCTGCGATCGTATCTTTTCCTTCTGGACATGCATACTATAACAGGTAACTCACGTGATTATCGCTGGGGCTCGTAATTGATGCGATGATCGTCCGGCAGTCCGTGTCCGAGTCGATAATTGCCGCGATTTCATCATCCACCATGTTGGATGTTGGCGTGACAATTACTCGGTAATTTGGCTCGCTGTTATTGGGAGGGTTGGTCTCTCGCGCCCTCCCACGTGCTTAATTTCCCTGTTCAGTGAATGGAGGGGAGAGGGAGCATTGCGCTTGTTAATTGACTGCGGGCCTGTGACACATGTCTTGAGTTCGCGGCCCACGGGGTTGTCACCTCTTCCGAGTATTTCGGCCTCGTGAAACTTGCAAATACGACCGGGTCCCGTCGAGTGAGCTGCGACCTAAGAGCTAGCTTCGGTCACTTCCCCCTCCCCCACTGCTTCTGTGTGCTCGGCCATTCGCGTCCCG